CAAAACTTATTCTCTACCTTCTAGATAAGTCATCGGCGACTTGAGTGATTTCGGAATCCACAAACTATCGGAAAACCTTCATCTACTCTAATTTTTTGCTCGATCTCTTTGATCTCTTTGTCTAATTAAGCTCCATCATGCTCTAAAATTTTTTGTTCTTTGTCAAGAGTCGTAATAGTTTTGGTTGGAATCCCCTTCATACAAAATTATCTATTTTCTTTAAAAGAGTCCTATATTTTTTCTTCTTTTTTTAAAGCTTCAATAACGAGTACTCTTCAATGCTTTGAATAGATTCTATTCATAATCATCTAGAGGTAATATTTGAAAGAAAGCAAGAAGATTAATAAATTCAATAGATGTGTGAAATTGGATTTCGATGAGCCTTAGAGGATCTATTATGTTCAGCTTGGACACAAATTAAATTTGTTGATTCAAAGATATCATCATTAGAGTGGGAGCTTCCAATGGTGATGGTGGTTTCAATTAAGAATCTAGTTCCAAACTCACTTCCATTTCAGAATTATGAATTGGGTCATTGGATGACCTTACAACTTCATTATCATCACGATGGAAGCTCAAATTATAAGAACCAATTTCTTCAATATGTTTCATTGAAATCATTACACATGAGGCTAATAAGCGATTAAGGCGAGTAGTTAGATCCCATGGAGTAGAATCTTTAGGAGGCTTGATGTCCATTGATGGAACTTCAAGATTTTATTAGGTAGCAACCATTGGAGTTTCACTAGTTGAGGTTTGTTTGGAATGCTTATTTATTAAACCTAAAATCTCCTTTTCTAATTCATCCAATATGAGTTCATTGATAAGCATTGATAGTTCTTCGGAAGATAAAACCTATAGAGGAAGTAAACAATGATGAACAATAAGTAAGTGGAATAAAGAAAAGTCATCATGTGTTATACCTCTCTAGGTAAGTGAATCTCAAACTTTGAATCTATCTCAAAAAATGAAGCCGAAAAAGGTTTTAATATCTAATGAAGTGGTAAAATGAATAATTTTGTTGAAGTTTTATAAGCAAATGATTTTCAAAAAGAGTATCGATAAGACTTATTTAATCTAATCTAGGCTTGGTTAGATGATAGATTCGACAAAGTAAAACAAGTTCGAAATCCTATCCTTTGGGTATGAAGTTTCACCAAGAGCTTCGTGAATAGAAGAATTCTATTGATGAAAATTCTCTCTTCAATAGCTTTATTTGTGATAGAAGTAGTTAGTGTTTTAAATATCAATATTATAGGAATTTCATATTGGAAATCATAAAAAAAAAAAGGATCCTCATCGCTTCTTACACCATGGCTTCTTTTTGTTCATCTGCAGTTAGGTTCTCGGGATCGAGAGGTGTTATGTACAATATTTCTTACCCTTTTGCATAAAGAAAGGAGGGAGAAGAATCCTAATTCAAGAATCTATCAAGCTTCTTCACTATCTTGAAGGAGAAAGATTTCTTCTAATTGTCAAACCACTCCTTTACCTTAGAGGAGGAAGGGTCTTTTCAATTGATGAGTCATCCTTCTACATTGAGGAAGGTAAAAGAAAGTTTCTCTAGCATGGAGATTCCTTAAAACATCCTTTTATATTGATGGAAGAGGATAAGGAGGTCTCTTTTTGATTTGTATCGAACCGGTAGGTTTTGGAGCTACCATCGAGTATTCTTCATTAGTTGATGCCTTTTTAAAGAAGGTTCTTCCTCCGATGATTCTTTTAAGGAAGAAGAAGGCAAATCAAGCTTTCTTTTCTTCTATAGATAAGCTTTCTTTTCTTCTATAAAATTTTTCAAATGTTATGGTCTTAATCGATGGTGATTTTATTATATTTGATGCATTGATAATATCATAGAATAACTTCTATCCGTTGGCCATAGAAAATTTTTTTCCCCAAACTCGTCAACCATATTATAGTGAAAGAAGTTGTTACACTAATGTTTGGGTCATAACCACTGAAGTGCTACATTATGGGATCAACCATCGATTCGTTCTTAGTAACTTGTTCTAGGAAGTTTCGGATATCCTTCTCGTATTCCATGATTGATTGATGGTCAAGATCAATAGTCTTAACACTTTTTGGATCAGCTCAAATTATCGAGCACAAAGGTTAGGGTTGTAAGCTTCGACCAACACTCGCATCCCTTAGAGAGTAAATTATCTCAACTTACTAAGACTCGTGTTCCATATAGATTATTCGCTAGAAGAAAATTGTATCTTGTGGAGTAATTTATTTGATTGAAACCACGAGTGGCCCATATCCGTACGTGTAGAAGGGCTTTCAATCTTTTAACTTGTTTCATTTATGCTTGAGGGTCGAGAATATGCCTCAAAGCATTCAAAAGTGAAGGAGAGCGAAAGGTGTATCATGAATGAGAAAGTGTCCATAGCTATCCAAGTCTTATTTGACAAGGTGAGATTGACTTAAGGTTGGAAAATAAAATTCCCTAATATCTAAACAAACTAGATAAGACATGATAAGGTCTTTAGCCTATTGATCAATGTATGTTGAAGACCTATATATATACGGATAAGGAGAAGTGGAGCCATAACGACTTTGCTCATTCCATCAAGCAAAGCTAAGTTGACGACCCAAGGCAAAAAAGCTTTAATTGGCTTTTTTGACTTCGAGCCAACAATGTACTTACGGATCTATAAGAGATAAAAATCAATTTTTATGTCATGAGATACCTCTATCTCTTTTTTCCAACAATTAACCGAGTGTCTATAAGTCTGTAGGAAGCTTGTTTTCTTAGACTTTCGTGTCTTCATCATTTGTGTTGAAAGCCAAGATATGGCTAGTAGAATACAAACAGGTGATGCCCATAGCATTAAATAGGATCATCGACATGTGACCTTCTAAAAATTAAAACTAGTTGACACAAGGATTCTAGGAAGTAGCCGAGTTGTTATTAAACTAGGATTGATGGTGTAAGAGCGGAGTTGATAAGAGGATGGCCTCATGAATTCCTATTGCATCCCATTTCTTACCTAACAGAGGAATGAGCCTTTTCTTGACCCAATCTTCATATTTGGCATCCGGTTTTGACAAAATAAAATGAAAATTTTTGGTAGATTAAGTTTAGTTTTGTAGAGTTGGATAAGACTATTGAGAGAAAATAATGCCGGCATCATAAAACTTTGAGAAGGCTATGTCGATCATGTTGGCAAGATGGACGACCTTAGTATTGATAGATGGACTTACTTGTTTGGTAAGGGCTCCTCTCTAGATCTTTTTTGTGTCCAATCACAACATCGACGGTGTCGTTACTCGGTAATAGGTTGAATCAAATGTAAGCTAATCAAACCAGTTTGATTGAAGAATTCATTTAGTTGATAGCAATCTCCTTAAAAAGTGATCTTCTCGTGAATAGATTTTTTTGAAGATTTGATGTTGCCTTTTAGAGACGTAGTTATGGAAATGAAGGGAGGAATTAACGGATGGTAGAAAAGATGTTCGATAGAATGATAGAAAGAAAATAAGAGTTTTTTACCTTGTAAATATTTTAGCAAGAAGGTAAGTTGCGAGTGAAAGTGAAAATGCTGCAAGTCATTTTTTCTTTTATATAATTTGTTTTAAAGGTTACGATGTTTGAATGCTAAGATTTAACGATTCAAATAGAGTTATGAAAAAAGCCACTAACTATTGGCTAACCGAGGTAGTAAAATAATTATGAATAGCTATTCAAGAAATGAAATAGCGTGATGTGTTATCGTGTCTATCAACATTTAATGTTCTACTCATTAAAGGAAGAAATTTTTCATTTCATCTTTAAATAGCTGAAAGGGGGCATGTGTTGGCACTTCAAAATTCAAAGTCATATGACGATCATATGAGGTATCTTCTTATGAAAAAAATAGTAAGGCATAAATGGAATGGTGCGTTTTGGTCTTATAACCAATCAAGTTTTGACGAAGCCTTAGTACTTTAATGAAACAATACGTTTAGTCTTATCACCAACCAAGTTTCGACGAGCCTTAAGTCTTTAATGAAACAATGCATTTTGGTCTTATAACAAACTAAGTTTCAATGAAGCCTTGAGTCCCGAATAAAATGGTGCGTTTGGTCATATAACCGAGTCATATTTCAACAAAGTTATAAGATTTAAATAAAATGATGCGTTTGACCTTGCATTTAGCCAAGTTTGACAACGACAATATGCATGTATAAAACAAAGGGATAGTTACTAATAATTTTTCACGATTGAATTTAAATAAAGAGTAGTTATTAGTTAAAAGCTATTTAAGGGGGAATGACCAATAGAATCGCACACGATCAACAACACTAGACTTTTTAGAGAAATTTATTTAAATCCTTTAGATTACACTCTAACGATTAGTTCTTATTTTCTTACAAGTAGTGCATGAGTCTTTATTGTTTTTTCGGTAAATTTATCTTCATATTTTAGAAAGTGTTGATCTGTCAAAATAATATCGAACACTTTGGTAGCTAACAATGTAAGTGTCATATCTTTCGATTTATGATATTTAGTCCTTTAATGAATTTTGTTTCTTCGATTAATAAGATTTTGTTTATTTTATTATTCACATTTTAAATTAACTACCCATGGACGAGTCCTAGTGGCTTGCTAGGCGTAACCGAACCTTATAGTATTTCATAGCGAAGGACTTAATCACAAATTAAAACATCGATATACTCCCCTTTAAGATTAAATTCGTCGAGCAATAACAATATCCTATACACGTGTTAATGATACCTTATTCCAGTAGTTATACAATCATATGTTATTCCATTAGTTATATAATGAATTCAAGTGTTAATAAATTAATTATAAATATTAAATTGCATGAAAAGAAAAAAAAATGAATGCTAAAATGTAATATTTATGGGATTTTAACATTTAATTAAGCGATTACAAAAGTTTAACTTATTGATTAGGTTAAGGCTAACCAATAAACCAAACATAAACTTAGGTTAACAGAACATATAGGTCTTTTAGTTTAACTTACTGATTAGGTTCAGGTTAACCAATAAACCGCGACCTTGTGGACTTGGAGTGAAATGGGCTTTATTTTAGACTTGAGACGCATGGGCTTTATTTTTATTGAAATGGGCTTAAGATGGGTAGCTGATTTGGTTGTTTCAATCAGGCCGTCATCCCTTGCCAGCTGTGTGGTATTTGGATCGATCCGCGCCAACTGTAATAAAGCTTCATCGGAAAATGAAGTTAGTTTGACCTCATCACTTGAAACTTGAAGTAAAAAGATTTCGTTCAGACTACTGCAATCTATAAACTTCAATTTCATTGTTGACTTTTTTTATTTTTTTATTATTATTATTTTTTTTTTTGCTATGACATTTGCTACATGGATTTTGACTAGGTTTGCCAAGAGTCAGCCTCGTTTTATTTGTTTATTTATTATTTATCTCCCTTTACGGAACTCAGCATTGGGCACCTTCGCTAGGTTGGTAGCTTTTGTTAGACAAATTTTAACTTGGGTTCCTTATATAATTGCACAAGTCAAGTCAACTGTTTTTAGGTTATTATATACTACAAGAGAAATCTGATTACCGTTCTTCATTTCTTGTCTGCCTGTTTATTTTAACCTTTCTTGTGGACTAGTGGCTCTGCTTTGAAAAATGGCTGAAAATGATGTTTCAGTGCATTAGCTCTTAACAAGAAAAACAAGCAGCATCACTTCCAATGCACCCAGACAGTTTTGAATCAAGGTAAGTTCAAAGGATTTATCTGTCTGCGATGGATGGATCTTATGGTTATGAAAAAAAAAAAAAAAGGTCAATTTTTACTTAACCTATATCAATTAAGTAGTTTATGGAGAGTCAAATCTTTGGAATCTGATAGGAAGACAAATAAGACCGTTGTGTCATTTCCTGGAAAAACTCTTCCCATTCTACCAGTGAGTTGTACTTATAACAAAATATTCGTCTGCGTGATCCAACGTGAATATATGTGAAAACTCTCTAAAATGGGAAGAATTTCAGTGCTTTTTGTGTGCTTATTCTCATTCTTTATCTTGATCACCTCTATCACAGCAGATATTATCAATCCAAGCCAATCCATAAGAGATGGTGAAACTCTTGTTTCAACCAACGGAAGCTTTGAACTAGGATTTTTTAGCCCTGGAAGTTCGAAAAACCGATACTTGGGAATATGGTATAAGAAGTCTCCAACAACGGTTGTATGGATAGCAAACAGAGAAGGTCCACTTCCCAACAAAACGGGGGCCCTGAATATCACCGGCAAAGGGATACTTACCTTAAACAGTAGCGGAAATGATATCGTGTGGTCGTCAAATCCATCAAGAACTGCAGAGGATCCAGTTGCAGAACTTTTGGAGTCGGGGAATCTTGTTGTAAGAGAAAAAAATGACAACAACCCTGCTAACTTTCTGTGGCGGAGTTTTGACTATCCTTGTGACACCATGATACCAGGAATGAAATTGGGGAGCAACTTTGTAACACGGATTGACAAGTTTCTGTCATGTTGGAAGAGTGTAGAAGATCCTGCTCCAGGTGAATTTTCTTTCCTTATGGATACTCGTGGGTATCCCCAGCTACTTTTGAACAGGGGAAATAGAACAGTGTTTAGAGCGGGGTCATGGAATGGCATACAATTTATAGGAAATTCTAGACGGAAAACCAATCCAATTTCCAATGAATTTGTGTTCAACAACGAGGAGGTTTATTTCGAGTACGGAATCCAAAGATCAATGTTTTCAAGGCTTACACTAAGTCCATCCGGCTTTGCACAAAGCTTCACATGGAATGACCGAATACATGATTGGGTGCTTACAGATGATGGCCAGTTCGATCAGTGTGACAATTATGCGTTTTGTGGTCCAAATACCCAGTGCGCCATGAGTAGATCTCCTGTATGTGTATGTTTGGATGGATTCATGCCCAGGTCTCTAGCAGATTGGAACTTTTCAGTTTGGTCAGATGGGTGTATCAGGAGGACTTTACTAGAATGCAGTGAAAAAGTTGGCTTTCTGAAATATCCAGGGATGAAATTACCAGACACATCGTCTTGCTGGTTTGACAAAAGTATCAGTCTGAAGGAATGTGAGAGATTGTGTCTGAAGAACTGCTCATGCACTGCTTATGCAAATTTAGATGTCAGGCGAGGTGGAAGTGGATGCCTGATCTGGTTTGGTGATCTGATTGATACAAGAAGGTCAACTGGGGATGGACAAGACCTTTATGTTAGGATGAATGCTTCAGAATTGGGTAAGCCTGCCAATTATCCTACAATTTATTCATTTATTCTCTTCTGCCTTCATCCTGAGGAAAAACCATTTCTGTTTCTTTTGGATTCAAAGAGGCTAGAAACCAAGAAGTCTTCACTCAGCTGGTTTCTCCATCTCTTCTACACCATTTTACCTTCTCAAAAATAAAATTGCAAGATTCAATTCAAGTTCATATAACATGGAACTCTTAAAACAGGGGATGTGTCAGGTTCTTCTAACTATTCTTCTGTGCACTTAGGTGTCATTATGAAAAAGAGGATCTTTAGTAAGAAGAAGCTAGCAGGAATAGTCTCCGGCACAATTGTAGCAGGCATTGGCATGCTAATTTTAGGATTGATCTTCTCCAAGCGGAGGTGGAATTTTAGAAAGAAGAACCGCGGTGAAGTGAGGAAGGAAGATATGGAATTGCCAATATTTGACTTGAGTACAATTGTACATGCCACCGATAACTTTTCAAACAGCAACAAACTTGGAGAAGGTGGTTTTGGAACCGTATATAAGGTAACAAAAAAATCATGCAACCTACGCAATCCATCTTCTAACACAAAACTAACAGAACTGTCTGAATGCTGACTTAGGGGATACTGGTGGGAGGACAACAAATAGCAGTGAAAAGGCTTTCAAAGAGTTCAGCTCAAGGAATGAGCGAGTTCAAAAACGAAGTTATATTAATTGCTAAACTTCAGCACCGCAATCTCGTAAAGCTTTTTGGCTGTTGCATTCATCAAGATGAAAGAATGTTAATCTATGAACACATGCACAACAAAAGTTTGGACTTTTTCATTTTTGGTGAGAACCATCCGAATTAATATCATTTTAGTTCTATGAATTATCATTTATTTATTTACTGTCATGAATCAAGTAGTTAGTTGGGCTAATATGGATGTGAAATTGATTAGATCAAACAAGAAGAAAATTACTTGATTGGAGTAAGCGTATCAACATTATAGGTGGAATTGCTCGAGGGCTTCTTTATCTCCATCAAGACTCTAGACTTAGAATCATCCACAGAGATATCAAAGCGAGTAACATTTTACTGGATAATGAGTTAAACCCAAAAATTTCGGACTTCGGCCTAGCAAGAATGGTCGGCGGAGATCAAACAGAGGCCAACACGAATAGGGTAGTTGGAACATAGTAAGCATCCATGCTCAATCTTGTCTTCCTGATCTTCATTTTTGTTTTGAGAACTTATCTTGTTACTATCAATTTCAGTGGTTACATGTCTCCTGAGTATGCATCGGGTGGACACTTCTCCGTGAAATCTGACGTCTTCAGCTTTGGTGTCCTAGCCTTGGAGATACTGAGTGGAAAGAAAAATAGGGGATTTCGTCACCTGGACCCAAACCTTAACCTTCTTGGACATGTAAGCTCTTAAATAACATTTTACATTATATAACCTTGATGAAGGGAGTGGTGAATATTAAATTTTTATGTTCCTTTCAAGCATTTCAAATGATATGCCATAGGGTGTTACGTCAAGGATGCTTCCATAGTTGATTAACAAACAGATTTGCTTTTTTTTTCTTCAGGCATGGATGCTTTGGATTGAAGGGACACCATTCGAACTGATTGATGAATGTTTGACAGAGTCCAGCGATGCATCTGAAGTTTTAAGATGCATTCATGTGGCTTTATTATGTGTGCAACAACGCCCGGAAGATAGGCCAAACATGTCAACTGTGGTTCTAATTTTAGGAAGTGAGATTCCATTGCCTCAGCCTAAACAGCCTGGTTTTTTTATGGGGAAGAATCCACTTGAACAGGGCACTTCATCAAATAATCTCCAAGCTTACTCAGGTGATGAGGTTAGTTTGATCTCGTTAGAGGCACGATAGCCTATCATCACTTTATGACAGAAGGAACAGTATTTCGGATCAAACAATTGAATGCGAGAAACTTTCATAGTTTCAGGATTGTATTTGGTGGCATCCACTCTTGATGTCTAGATGTATACCCATTTCACCATTCCAGAATAATGAGACAGAGCTGAAATGTAGGAGCAGAATCAGGCTATCGACGCCAGCCAAGTAGGCCAGTCACAGCTTGGAATGGATTGACATCGCTTCCTGATTGTACAAACTTCATTTTCGAAGAAGAATTTTTAAATTTTCTTTTCCGCTTTTTTGTGTTGATTACAGTGAGTCCAGAGGCATCCTGGTTTCATCTGTTTATTATTTAATCTCGCTTCATGAACTCAGAGCACCTTCCTCTACATTATTGCTTTTGTTCGACAAGTGTTCCTGACTTGCTTATAAAAAAACGTACTCCCAATAATCGTCTTTAATAATCCTTATGGCCTTTTCAATTCCAATTAAAATATCTATTTAGTACAACATTAAATTCAATAAATAAATAAATGAAATTCGCCTTCTATGAAAATTCTGGACAACAAGGTAAAATATGAGTAATGGTTGGGCCTCCAATTTTCATCAAACACATAAACTCAATTAATTAGCACATTAAATACTCTACGCAAATGACATCACCATTGAAGCCTAAGGGTACAAAAAACTAAGATGCCTCTTATCATTAAGCTATCCATATGGACTCATGACATACATTAATAAAAAAAGATCCATTCTAATCAGCACATATTTTCCAAATATTTCAATTAAACGATTAATTAATTTCAATTAAAATACTTTTATTTTACTACATAGATATAGATAAAGAGATGGTGCATGGTCATGTAGGAAATATTGTAGGTTGCCCGGTTCTCATACGTGGCCCTATACTGGGTAAGATTTTCTTTCTCCGTTAACTTTAGACTCATAGAGTACACTACGGAACTGTTCCTGAGACAGAAATGAGTTTAGCTGGCAATTCTAGTTGTAGTGGATGTTTCTTCTAAACATATAGTTTATGTGGTGGATCGAAAATGAAAAGAGAAATTGCCAATCATTTCTTTCTTTCTTTCTCACCCATTGTTCTCGTGACGGACCTCTGAAATTTAATCTCGAATTCAAACCTATCCATCTGCTTTCCGTAACACTCCAAGTTCCGTTCTAAAAGGAGTTTTGAGGTAAATTTAAAAA